ATTAGAATTGATCAACTCTCTAATCAGTGTTTGATTTGACTAGTGTTTCTTCCGGTGGACAAGGAATGGCTTTCTATTGGCGTGGAGATCAATTATTTGCAAAACGAGGACCAATTGGCGATGAAGACCAGGTTTGGACAACATTTTTGATGGACATGAGAGAACCTGCTGAGGTAACGATTTATTTACATTTCTTATGAACAAAAATATATATTGCATCAAGTTTGTTAACAAATTACGCGCTAAAATTTTTTTTTTTACGTTAATTAGTTTCCAAATGTTGAAGAATTCGCACGATTCTTAGCTAATTCACTGGTAAATTTATTTTAATGTTTATCATATCATATATCATCAATATATCAATATCATTGTTAATTTTAATATAACAATGATAATAGGGATTTACAGGAAATCTTCGAGAAATTTCTGTGTATTTTAATGATATATTAGTAATACGATTGTCAAAGAAAATGCAAGAGCCGAGATTGATGAATATCACATCTGGGTTCAACACATTTTCTCCACTAAAGATGTTTCATCTTACCTCAGTAGATGTTAGAGGTGTCCAACTAGATGTTAAGAGACTACTTGTCCCAACAAATAAAATAACTAGGCAGTGGCTTCCGATACCAATTGCCGATTACCAAGTAGAAGAGACGTCTATGTTTCTTAGAATCGCCAGCGGAAATTTGGATGTTAAAGTCAACGAAGGGTTTTCTTCAGAGATGGAACGAATTACTAAAAAGAAACCGCCAAATAAAACAACTATCCAAATGATTTTTACTGGATTTGATGAACATAATTCATCCGGGAATTATAATAAGAATATTTCTCCGGTCTTTAGAGATTTACTTCCATTTCCAGAACAAGGAAGAATATATATTGGTTTTCCAACTCATCAAACCACAGGATGCTGTTCTCACTTGGCGGCCCGCGTAATTCCTACTGTATGTGTATGTTACACGTAATAATATTTTATGAAACTTAATATTAAAATTTATACTTATTTAGGTGGAGCGAGAATCAATCGACTTGGTAGACAAAACTTTGGCTAAATATAACAACGAGTTGTTATGTATAGCAGGAATATTGTGTAGAATTTTATATGAAGATGAAATGACTCAAATAACAAGGCTTTATAATGAGATGATTGGTTCTGATGTAGTATCTGATGATGAGAATGTCAAGTCTGTTCGAGAATGGTTTGAAAAACGAGCAGCTCATGCTTTAACGCACTTCACTTTCAAACCCAGTACGCCGAATGTGCATGTTGGCAGAATAACGGAATTACAATTTTTCAGTTGCTCGAAACAACAATTATCTATTTTGTCAACAAATGGAGTCTTTCCGATATCTAATGTTCGCATGCCTAATGCGGAGATGGCAGGATTCATAAAAAAAGTTCCAGTTGTTCCAAAAGTTATATTGGAACAATGTGATGTGTTTTTTAAAAAAGCAAAAGATTTGATGAAACTTATAGAAGAGTTGAGTATTCAAGACGTTTTATATGAATTGAAAAGTCGAAAACTTTCTGAAGATGAAACGGTTGAGCTTTTGAAATGGTGGACTTCATATAACTCAAAAGGAAATATTGCTAATCAATCGGATTTTGCACTGCTCATGCAGCTTGCTACTGTACGTATTGGCGATCAATTGCGAGCTTTAAACACGTTTCGTTACTATTTGAATCCAAGCATAATTCCACCTGATGTAGATTTGCCTGTTGAAGTTTTGCCATATTCTATTTCCAAAAACTTACAAAGGTCGGATCTTGAAAAGTCGTTTGGATGGTCAGGGTTGTCCTTGGTTACCTGGTCAAGGTTTATTGTTAATCATCCTGATTTGGAAATTAGCCCCGCATTTGCTGAGAAAGTTCATAATATTATAGAAAGACAATTTAAAAATACTTTGCAAAATGATAAGGAAATAATTTACCATTTATTTGTTCAAAAGAAATGCGTTCCAACTAAATTTGGAATGAAGTTACCTAACGAGGCTTATTTCCAAAATGTTAATCTTTTTCCTGACTTACCAACGATCCAATTCCAAAAACCCTTAAATGTTCAGAATATAATGCAACTCTTGGGTGTTCGAAAGGTAAATAAATTTTTATACTATATGCTTTTCATATTTAAATATTAAAAACTTTTCGAAATTTATCAATAGGTCGTTGAATTACAACTAATTTTTGATCGTCTTGTTAGTCAAGGAAATTGGGATCATATGCAACTTGCGAAATACCTTTCCTCGATATCGAATAACCTTAAAGATATTGAAACAAAGAGATTAAAGATTACGCCTATCTGGCCTAAAGAAAACCTTGTAGATTCACAGCCGAACAATGGTGAACCTGGAGAAATGAAGCCAAAGCCAAAAATTCAACGCTTCGTTGCTAGTGATCTTTATGCACCTTTAGCATTACATCGTGAATTTGGTTTACCTTTACTTGATTGGAAAGGAAAGTGGGCCCGAAATACGCAAGAAGGTATTTTTGTTCGTTTGATCGGTTTAACTAATATTTCACATATTAGGAACTTAACATTTAAAATTTTTGTAGGAAAATTCTTAATTGAACTGGGTTTACGAGAATTTCCCTCACTCAAAAAAATTCTAGAATTGGCAGCACCTCCTACTGACCCTAAAATTCGCAGCAAGGCTCTCAAATATTTTATTGATAATTTTAAAGAAAAATATTCTAAAGGTTATAATCCAGTGGAGGTTAATATTGCTTTTTTACCTTGTTCGGATCCAAGTATTTACGCAAAACCTTTAGAGTGTTTTATTAACCCTGAGTGCGAAATAATGAGATTTCAAGCTGTACACCAAGATTTACGATTTCAAGCGGAACAATTTGGCGTCCGTCAACATCCTGGTCGAGAAAATCTCATAAATAGACTTATTGAGGGTCCACCACAAGATGTGAATAAGGCAAAAGGAATTTTCGAATATTTAGCTTCGCGACAGGGATATTTTGTCCATTCTGATTGGAATACTCTTGTTGATCTCAAATTTATTCCAATTCGAGATAAAATTCAACCTAATATAATTACTCATACAAATCCGCGTAGTTGTTTCTTTAAAGGTCAAGAAGAAAGGTATGTACTATATATCTTTTTTTTTTCATTATCTACAGTATGAATAATTTAGATTTAACTTAATTTTTGATATATATATATATATATTTATATATATCTCTCATATATTTTTAGCTTGAACGATTTCTTTTCGTATATTGATTTTGGAGAAAGAGCAAATAAATTTCTTCAAAGTTGTGGCGTCAAAAACGAACCGTCTCCAATAGAATTTGCTGAATTATTAGTGAAATCGTCACAAGAATTTTGGAATTCAATCGGAGATAATGTAGAAAAATATTTAACCGTTTTGAGAAGAATTGCCATTAATTTTAGTATTATAGCAAAAAAACAAAGTTTGATTTCAGAGATGAGAAAAGCACCTATTTTGTTGGCTGTGAGGAAGAGAAATAGTGTCAATAAGAATGATTTGGGTAACGAAGAAGTCGACCAATATTGTTTGGCTTCAGCGAGGGAAATTTTCATAAATGATGATACAGTATATCAACAAGTGTTTAACCCTTTGTCGGTTCCAGAAGAAGACTATATGGAAATGTTGTATAAAGTATGTCACCTATTATTATATTGAATTCATGAAGTTTATTAATATATATAATTTGTTTACTGATATTACAAATGAATTTTTAGAACTTGGGATGTAGATCGTTACGTGAATCTGTGAGAGAAACTGTGACCCCAATGGGTAATGTTCGAGAAACCGAGAATTCTCGAAAGTTACAAGGAACTATAATTGAACGATCTCGTTTATTCTATCATGATTATTCTAAAAATGAGATTAAAAAAGGTGAAGAATGGCTTAAAAAGCTGAAAGTTAGAGAGATCGATCAAATAGAAACTCATTATTTGTTAACAACTTCTTCTGAAATCAAGAAAGAGTTTACTACAACGTGTCTCCTTCAAGATAAACGGAAGGATTCATGGACTCTTTATGTGACACCTGATCCAGATTTTCTTGATATTTCTCAACATATAGTCAAAAATATCTACAAATCACACAAATGGAAGGATATTTCTCATCTCAATATGCTTTTAACTACACATTTATCAAGTTTAAAACGCAAGGGGTATCCAATTGATCGTATATTACGACAGCCTAAATTACAACGCGTTGTTGAGAAATATGATAAGAAGATGAGTGACCAAGGAAATGAAGCATCTCCAATAAAAAACAATCCTTCATCTTCGGTACTCCCTCCTAAGCTGGAGAACTGTGTCGCTCAATTACAAGAAGCATATCCCGACTGTGATCCAGACTATATTCGAAAATGCCTCTTACAAGAAAAGGAGAATCACCTAGATAATGTAGCTAATATACTTGCCGATGGAGATTATCCGCAAATTGATTCAAAATCTCGTCAAGTCGTATCAACCGGTGCTAATAATGATGATGATTATGGAGTGAGAAAACTTGGGTGGAATCTCTTTAATAAAGTAACAAAATCTATATCGGATTATACCAATAATAGTAATAATAGTACAACAAAACCTTTGCCTTCTTCGTCAAAGCCCATTGAATCTTCTACAAATATGGAACCAGTTACCGTAACTCCTAAAACTACTCGAGATTTACGAAACGTATTACAGGATGCCATTAAAACTTGTCGTTCTAACTCGGGAAGTGTTATTGACAGCCAAGCTAGTGTCAAAATCGTCAGCGAAAGTCAAACTAGTTACTGCGACGTCATACCCGGTATGGGCCATATATAATGTTATATCATTTTAAGTACATTGTGTTAAATTTTCTCATTCTTTTATCATTTTTAGGTCATTCATTACATTTTGTTGGAAATTTAAAAGGGATTGAGCTTTATGTTCCTAAAGGCCAATCGGAAACGTTATATC